TTTTTATCAGTATATATTTTTTTCTATTGCAAATATTTAATACTAAACAGTTTATCTAAGAGAACATGACACTCTAGTATTTCCACATTCTCAATGAGAATAAATCTATTTTTTTATGACGATCTTCTATTTTATTGTTAATTATTATGATTTGAAAATTGTAGATTTAAATAATTCCAGAATGATAGATGTTTCTGTATTTTCAAACTCAATTTCTATACCAGTTGATCAAAGTAAATAGACGTTTTTTTGATTCATCGAAGCACTACTCTGATAATATTTTAGTTGGCTGGCTGTCATTCAAATTTGATTCTACATATCGAATTCAACTAACTGGAATACTTAGTGCGGATGAATTTCAAGAATCAATGAAAAAAATCAATCAGACATTCATTCCAATGAATAATTTTATGATCATTTCTCGAATAACCTTTTTTCTGGGTCTACTAGGTGGATTCATATGTTTAGTGACCTCAGTAACAAGAGCAGATACATCTGCTTCATTTAAGGTTGATGTACTATTTGGCTTTGGCATTGCTCTGTTTATTCTATCTTTTATATCAGCTATTCTTTCAATTTGTATTATGCCTATCAGTCTCGAACGAACACGAGAAGTAGTTGCTAAAGAATCACTGAACTATTATTCAAGATTACCGACATCATGCAATTGGAGATTGAAAGACGGGACCGGAAACGATTGGCCATGTTCTAGTAATCAAATACTACGCTATCATGTAAGTATCATTTCATTCATTTCTTCTAAAAATAAATTATTATGAAATTTTATTTAAAATCTTTATCTTTTCCAGATAGTGATTGATATTGGTCCTTCTGTTTCTCCCGTACATAATAATCCAATCGATTATTATTCAAATCCAAATGTTGCCATACTCGAAATGTCTTTTGAACGAGATGATGTTGGTGATCTTCCACCATATCCTGATTCCAATACAAGATTTTGCTCTCAATGTAGTTTACCACGACGTGATTCAACAGCTAAATTTTGTTCATCATGTGGACAATCATTTGATGAATACTAAAGAACTTTTTCTAATGTCTAATAAAAAACTCTGTGCATATGCATGCTTTTTTTTTTGTTTATAAAACTTATTAAGCTTTTCGCTCAATCTTTAAGTGAAGTTTTATTTTAATTTTAGTTCAAACACAAGCAAATATGATCGGTATTCCTCTACGTCCAGACTCCATTTCTATATCGTTTGACAGTAATAAATATTGATTTTTTTAATTTGACATATTCTTATCTGTAACTTTTTCAGGTGGGTGTTTTACAGGGTTTGATTCAACATATCCAACTGATCTAAATGGAATTATCAGTCCAGATGAATTTCAAGAATCAATGAATAGAATAAATTATCGATTTTTATCATGCAAAAAGAAATTCTACATTATATGCATGATTTCCCTTTTGCTTATGATACTCGGAATATGCTTTATTATTGTTGCAGAAACAACACCTAATTCTGATTCGAATTTGAATAGCAAATTGCTCTGCATTGGAATTTTATCAGTTCATCTTGGGTTATGGCCTCCTTGTGTTGCCTGTTGTATGATAGGGCGTCAACATGATCGAGAACTGCTACAAGCAGTCAAAAAAGAATCAATCAAATATTCTTGCAGATCTCCAACACCATGTGGTTGGAGATTAGAAAGTTCAACAAGTAGGATTGAAAGAAAGGGAAACGCGTTCAGTCATGTAAGTATTATTGTCTTATGAAGAAAAATGTTTGTAAAACGAGAAACGTATACTCTTTTCAGTTAGCGATTGATATTGGTCGTTCTATGATTGCTGAAGGTGTAATGCATCATTCTAAACAAGTCGCCCCAGCATCAATAACATTATTTCAGCATGAAGATAATTCTGCACCTCCACCATATTCTGATCAATTTCCAAGATTCTGCTCTCAATGTCATGTACCACGATCTGATCTGACAGCTAAATTCTGTCCATCATGTGGACATTCATTCAATAGATATTGAATATGAACCTCTGAAAGTTTCATATAGTGCATAAACACTGTTGTTTCTTCTTCTAAACAACAACATATAATGATTTGCTTGAATAAAAATATGAACACTTGTTAATTCAGAATTACTTCATCTGAATATTCAAATTGATTTGTTTATCTTGGAAGTTACGAAAAATTCACTGATGGCAATCAACGAAAGTGTGTCATTCTCCATTCTCTAGTTAAATATTTGCTGTGCAGATGAAGGTTCTTACTGAAGTATACTGTATGTAAAGATATCGGCTTTCTGCAAAACAGAACAAAAGTATATACGTCAAACAATCTCTCTTTATCTGTCTCTGCTTATGGATGAATCATGATGTTTTGTCGAACATTCGTTCATACGTAAAATATTCACGATTGGTAATCAAACAACACAGAGATAAAACTTTTGGAAAGTTCATTTATAAAAACTATGAGAATCTTTGTGAGGACTGCATAAGAGCAATAAACTGACGAGGAAGGATCCCAACTGATCCACGCCGTTTTGTTAATATTTTGCCCATATGTAGAGTTCGACGATACTAGAAAAAGTCTAAACAGACAACGGCTTGTATGCCTTCCCTCTCGAGTTACAGCCACTTTACTGCATTTACCAACTATATGACAAGGGATCGCCGAAGAATGAATATTCTTCGCTTTTATACCAACACCCATAATAAAGTATGTCTTTTATGTTACATGATTCATTTATAAAGAGAGGCGAAGAAAGAAAGATTGATTGATGTATATGCCTTTGTTCTGTTTCGCGGAAAGCCGACATTCTTATATACAGTAGTTTAATAACAACCTTCAATAGCATAGCAAATATTTAACTAGAAAAAAATGGATTTGATAAAGACAGTATAGAATTTGTATCAAGTAATAACATAAAATATAATACATAAATAAATAAGCGTGCAGATGAG